CGAACTAGAGCAGTAAGTGAAAGTTGTGTGTTGCACCCACAAGATTTTTTATTATTTTTTTAAAAAATAATTACACTTGAATAGTTTATGGATGAAAGAAAATTTTCAGGACTTTCAGCCAAGATATTTTTATTAGGTTATCCGAACCAAATTCGCGGGTGATCCTCTGGGTTGAATATATTAATTTTATTGAGTTTGCTCATATTTAAAATGAGATTATAAATAAATATGTTGACGAGTTTCTGGTTTTATTTATTAACTGTGACCACCAAAGTACTTTTCTTTTTTTCTGCGGGATGTATCAATTTCAAATTGTGAGCCTCTGTATGTTGTATGGCTAATGGAGTAATTTAAAAAAATAAATAAAATGAGATATTATTTGTATTTCTAAATGCTTTCACATAATTTAAAATTAAAAATAATTAGTTTTCTGCTTAACACGGAGTTTTAATTTTTATTTACCATGAATACGGTAAACATACATATAAGTGGATGGGTTATTTGATTCTTTTTTTATTTCAAAGTACGAAAATTTCATCTATCAAATAAATCTTCAAAGATAATTTATTTTCAAAATAGAATATATTTCATAGAAAATTAATTTTAACACTAATTATTAAATTATTAAAACGCATCCTTCATTTAATCTGATTCTCCTTTCTGGATTACCGGTTGGAAGCTTTGATCCTTTAATATTTAAATTTAGATAAATAAATAAATCGTTTAATTATTCTTGGATTTTCATAATGGTCTACAACTTATTTCGGGCACCTCCTGCGCCTCCTGGATACAAATTAGCGATAAGAGCTATTTTCGAAGAGTAGCCGGTTATATCGGATAACTGGCCTAACAAGATGGCCAGGACTCCGGTATCGCTCCTAAGTTATGGGCCCTTAAATCCTCAGCCTTCTGCCTCATCTACCTCCCCTCCCCTCTACTGAGGAGGGCTATAATTAAAATTTTAATTAATTGCGAGTTTTAATTAAAAATACTCGAAAAAGAAAACCGAGAAAAGGCGACGCCTTCTAAATATATCGGACGAGGTGAGCCCACTGACAACCTTTTCATTAATATACTTAAGAATTTATTTAAAGGGCGTCCTGTAAGTGGAAAGCGTATTTTCACTTTTATCTTTCTTTCATATTTTAACTTTCAAGAAGTAACAATAATAATAACTAAATAAATAAAAAACTAAATACAAATAAACTTAAATTCTACACTATACATTTATTAACAAATTAGTGGAAACACTCTAAAAAATAAACAAAAAAAACTAAAGATTTATAGAGATTTAATGTTAAAATTAGGTTATAATTGAAATGTTTTAAAATTAAGTGTTGGGTTTCTCTTTTTGCCAACTCTTGGCGGCTACTTTGAGGTTGCCACCGCGTACTTACCAGATTTGATAGTGTCAAGATTTCGTTCCAGAAGCTGGCGAGAATTAATAAATATTAATTAACCTAGATATAAATCAAACCAAAAACAACTGGGCACTCCGGGATCCAGGCCTTGACCGAGACCTGCCTCGATGGCTTTTCTGTCGTTTTAATTTGTTTAATATTATGCATATTTGCAACACTAATCTATCTCGTTTCAAGTGTTGCTCAGGACGAAGATGGAACGGGACAAGGACTAAACGATTTCCAGTGGGGGAACGTTCCGTTCCGTTCCGATCTGTACTTGGAATTGCTTATCCCTAATCCGGAACTAGTAGTTAAAATAAGAAGCAGTTGGTCAACCCACTCCTTATGCCAACTAGTCCCACTCAAAATATTTTCGAGTTGATATTGTTTTAACCTGTAAGTGTGTTATGAATTGTTTTTTACTTATAAAAATCTGGTGCGCGCAACACACAACTTTCACTTTCCGATCTACTTTGAATAGAAATTATTTTCTGGCAATGCTGGGCTATTACAAAAATTTTCGAAGTGCATTTTAAACGGAGCTAAAGCTTGAAGCTTACAGATAACAAGTCATTAAGACCATTATAATGACAAAATGTCTATTTAATATATCTACGACAGGCAATAAAAATCTAGTCACTCCATCTGCTTTTATAAACCACACAACTTTCTTTGCTTTTATAAACCACAGAATGACTAACATTTTTGAGTAATGTCATTTTAGTGATATTTTTAGTTGAAAAAGTTATCTATGCAGACAATGAGTAAATTGATTCCGGAGGTGGTGATTGCAGTGTTGAAATGTAGAACTGAGAATAAAGGTATAAATTTAGGTACTTATTTGTTATGAAAGATGTTCTGAGGTAAGATACTTTATTAAATATCTATAGAAAAAAAACGTTTTTTGTTAATTTTAATTAAAAACGAATATTTTAAATTTATACAAATTTTCGCCTCTTCAGGGAAAACTAAAGACCATATCTTTCCTCCTAATTGTCCCATTTTAACGATTTGTTTTTGTTTTTTTAGGAAATTCCGTAAACTTTAATAAAACCATATACAATATGGTTATTCGAAATTTAATTTTACCATCCCTCGTAAGTTTTTTTCCAGCTTCTTTTCGTTGAAGTATGTTATATAGATAAATTTAAAGGGTATCGACAAAATGACTTTAGCCAAGTTTCATTGAAATCGATACATTCGTTTCGGCGCTACAGTCTATAGCAACGCAGGTTTTCCTGCATTTTAATTTTTTTTTCTCCTTTATTAACTTATCAAATTCTTTCAAAAGTTATATTTAGCATTTTTTCGTAACTCTGAATAATGTGAAATGATTAACTTTTTAAAATAAACCATATTAAAGGTACTTTAGGGGAAGACGCAGGGCATTTAATCCCTGTAAAGTGACATCAACGCGAATAAAACCTAAATGATATTAAAGACCACTTAATCATACAATGATACACCGAGATTAATCAAAATCGTTAGAGCCGTTTTTGAGAAAATTGTGAAAATGTGTTTCAGCGTTGATATAAAGTCGCACTTCCGGTTAGCCGATTTTAAGGAAAAAGTTGTTATCACAACAAAGGCATATACCTATCTTAAATACGTAATATCAGTTTCATAGGACTTTTCGTTTTTGAGCTAGACTGCTAACATACAAACACACAGACACACAGACCATTTTTCGAGACTCGATCATTTCGACTCAGGTTACCTCAAAACGTGTAAATCCGTTGAAAACTCAGATTCAAAAATTTTTTCGATCGCAATACTTACGCTTGCTATATATTACATATATACGTAAGTGAAAGTAAAAATGGAATTCATAGCACACGATAGAAGTTAACTAACCATCCTATCGAATCTTCACACAAAAACGAATTAATTTTACATAGAAAGATACTAATTATTGTTTTTTTAATTAATTTAAATTAGTGAAGATTTCGTAAGTTGTTTAAAGGAGAAGATTTAAATGAACCTAATCCTGTATATCAGAATAATAAACTATATAAAATAAATAAGTAAAAGATATTTCTCGGGCCTAAAACATATTCTATACTAAAGCGTATTAATTGCCTTTTGTTAATGTAAACGAGTTGTATGGTTGGTTTTTTCCCATCCCAATACCTATAATTAATTATCTATTAAATATTATTCTAGGCAACATTCGTTATTTTGAGAAAACAAAACTTGGAGGAGACAAAATTCTTAACCTATAAACTTTTACTAAATTTGAAGCAATTCTCAGATAATTTTTGGACAGACCTCAACTTAATTAACATAAACTTAAAGCTTTCTAACAAAAATATTTTCTGAAAGTGGACAATCTATTGTCTACTTTGAAGTTGGTTTAAAACAAATCACGCTCAATCCATAACATAGCGAAAAACAGAACTTTCTGTAGTTTAGTCACTTTAAAGAAATCTTTAAATGATAACAAAGAAAATTAGATTTGACTTTTAAAGAATTTTTTTCTAATCCATGTTGAAAATTGACATTATTTCGGTATTTTTTTATTTTTATTTTTTAATATTAAACTAAAATCCTGATAGCCTTAAAAAAAAAAGTAAAACATTTAAATCTAGTTCTTTCTTGTTGGAAATCGCCTCTTAGCACAAATGAACTTTTCAGTTCATTTGAATCTACTATCGATGCCTGAAGAAATGATGGCCGAACAAGCTGAGCAAGGTTCCCAGACTGCTCGTTTTGGAACGTTGTGGTTCGATTCCCATCTAGGTTGGATTATATTTAAATTCGGAGTTCTCAATTAATGAATATTAATATTCCCACTCTGGTTAGTGCGCTGCAGCAAAGTAGATGCCGTCAGGGGTTGGCAAAAAGAACCTAAAGACCCACTTACCAGACTAGTTCCCACCAATAGTACCAGAACTATCAATACCTTATGTTTCTGACATCTTTTGCGTTACAATCTTTATAATAATTTACAAGACCTTTTTCTATAATGTACTTTTTGATATTTCTATTATTTCCTTTGATTCTTGCTCATCAGAATTTTCGACAAATGGAATCAGAAACTACATCAGATTTTGTCACATTTTAAATTTCATGAGTCATTTATACTTCCTAACCTGTTGAACAGGTAGTTTATTCATTTTCCTACTTTATAGTTTGTTTTTAAAGATAAACGACAGTTAGTTTCATACTTCTGTGAATCTTTTATTTTATCATGAAGAAGGCTTATATAGTGTGATTAAACGGTGGCATAGTTTTGTAATGCGTTTTATTTCTTTTCGAAAATATCTATTATCAATAAACAATTAAATTTTGTTTCTTATCTGAGACAAAATAATATATTTCAAATATTTTTATTTTTTAATATGCCACTCATAGGGGCTTATCACCCTTGAGACTCCGAACCATAAAATAAATCTTTGATCTCATTTTGAATCAAAGTATAATTTTTTCAATGATACCATACATATGTTAGTCCTGTACTATTTTTTCTCTATGATATATTATTCTACTAATTAACGCGGTCTGTACTGTGGTCTGTAGCAAGATAAATACAAGGTTAATAATGTTGCTACAAGAAAATACAAGGTTAATTGCTGCAACGTAATACCAAGTAGTGGCTAAGTAAATTGTGATTATATGTTTAGATAAATGAAGATATTTACTTTTAAGTTATGTATGTATGATTGAGCAGTATAAAACATAAGAAGGCCGAATTTTTAATTCCGCTCATCCTTGAAAATCATCGACCTTGGAAAACGCACAACAAACTTAATACGGGAATATAACTGTTTGAGAAATAATAAATTATAATTACTAAAATTCGCTACATATCATCAAAGAACTTTTCAGGAACGTCTCCATTAAAAACAGATATGGTTTCCTTGTACATCTTCAACAAATTCTCCTCCACTTCCGATTTCTTCTCGTTGGATATCCCGTCGAATTCCATCCTACGTCTGATGAATATTATCTGTTTGGCAAAACTACAGATGGACTCGATAAGGATCGTCACCAACTGGTTCCTGTAAGATTTCTTCTGCAGATTCCTCCATGATTCCTCCGACATTTTCAACGCCCGTGGAAGGGATTTCGTGACGAAGTACCCTTCGCCAGCGTGGTACAGCAACTCCACTTCTTCGACCCTCCCGGGTATCATGACCCTATTGGTGAGCGGTACCAAACCTTTGAAGGGAAGTCCTTTACTCTCGAGAGTTTTTAAGGCAGTGAAGTCGTTCTGGAATCTCTCCTGCATGCCATTTAATATGTCGTTTTCCTGTTTCAGAACCTTGATTTTTTGGTTCAACTCTCGCTTTATTAGAGCCAGCTCCAGTTTGTCTAATTTCAGCATATCTGCCGATAACAGTTCGAAAAGTCTTAGCACGTTTGTGCATCTCATAACAAGCTACGTTGATAATTTGTTAAAGTAATGTTATTTGAGTCATGAGCATCTAAACAACAGTTGGCATATTAATAAATATGAACCGTGTAATACAAAAACCAAATATATTTTCTATCATATGATTTTATTTATAAAGCAATCTGTTTTCTTAATATTTTACAAATTACGAAAATATTGTGATTTTATTCCTTTAAGAGTATTCCGTGGCTTATCAACTCGCAACAACAAAAGCGTCATCGATACTGTTAGTAGCATACTGTTGTGTAATGTTAGTATCTTTATAACAAAAGACAAAATTATCCGAAATTGAGTTTTGATAATCGTTGTGCGATGCTGGGTTGTATTATCTGGCTCCTTGCCTTAGCTCTTCCACTGGCGTTGAACATTGTGGCCGATATTGAATATTACGCGAAATTGAATATTTAAAAAAAAAACTAGAAATAAATGATATAGATAATACAATATTTTCCTCTCATCCAGACTAATCTATTATATATCTAAAAAAGTTTAATAGCATGGTTTTTAAATATTTAACACCCGAAACTACTATTTCATTTTTAATGAAAATTTTAAAACTCGAATATACTATAATAAAATATCAATTAGGCCTAGGTCATATATTTCTTTTTCATATTGTGGTATTGCCATTGTAATTTTTATTTTTTCTAATAAGAAATACAACGGAATTATTACTTATTCATAATATCGCTATTAGTGACTATGCACATGAATAAACGTTAATGGGACAAGGAAAGTTCGATGTTCACTCTGATTTTAAAATAGTACTACTAGTAATAATAAAATAAACTACTGATTACAGTCTATAATTTCAGGCTTCTTAACTTATTTTTTTTTTTTAAGGTTTACTACATATTAAAACTTCATTCTAAAACATCTTGCCCTAAAGGGAACCCTACACGGTCAATCGGAATTGCACTAATGACGTTCCGAATTGTCGTGTAAGGTAGTGAATGAAGTACTGATGGTGGTGCGCTGCGGATTTCCGAACATCCGGAAATCAAAGGTTCATTCACGAGAAGTGGAGGGGGGACCGACTAAACATATGGGCTGGGGAGACTAACCATACTGCTGGATAGGTTAGGTTACCTAGGCCTCACTACCATTATAAATTTCTGATTTTCATTATATGTAAATAGTTAAATAATTTTTCATATCCCTTGTTTATAATTTTAAACCATCTTCAACTATTTCTTTTAAATAGTCAAGTGGGCAACAAATAAAAAAAAAAAAAATGAGGAAACTTCACAATTTACTTTAGGAAAAAAAAAAACTTTAACGTTGTGTATATTTATCAGTTCTTTTCCCATTTTCCTCAACAAATTTATTATTTTCGCAATACCTTTCCTTAATTTTTGTAAGCAGTAGACTTATATTTTAGTAACTTTTGTCAAAAAGATTTTCTATGAGACTAACCTTACTACTAGATAGGTTAGTTACCTAGGTCTCGTTATTAAGTAAATAATTTCATAAAAGTAAATAGTTGTTTATATCCCTAGTCTATATTATTATTAACCATTTTCAACTATTTTTTCTTTAAATAGTCAAGTAGGCAATAAATTGGAGAGAAAAAAAAGTGGAAACTTCACAATTTACTTATAGAAAAAAAATCTTTAACTGTTGCGTTTATTTGCCATTAATTTTTCCATTTTTCTTAACAAATTGATTATTTTCGCAATACTTTTCATAGATTTTTGTATTTAGTTGACTTATATTTTGGACTAACTTTGGTCTAAACGATTTTCAGACACTAGGAAGTAATTATTATATCTCCGTTTTTCTCTTGATGCCCAATATTATGACAATGTCCAAATAAGCATGTCTCTGCTGTTTCTTTGTTTACAACTGCGCTAAATTAGTCAGCAACGATCTCACCTAAATCAGCAACGATAAGTAATGATCAGCAATGATTGAACGTATAAGGGTCTTCATGATCACAGCGATAGCGGGCAATCTTGGAACTTCTTGTGACGTTCATTCATGAATTACCGTGTAGGGTCCCCTTAAGAAACTTGTACTATAACATATTAAGTATTTTTATAAACACAACACTTGATATTTCAAAATTTTCTTGAGCAAACGAGAGATTATAAATATGTTTTATTCATTAGGGGAAATATGGAGTAGTCATGAGGACAATTGTACCCCTTGTAAGACGAAGCTGAAAATTTATAGAAGTCAATGACGGTATTTTCGAACAATTATTAAACTAAGACTTCGATAACCGAAAGGATGATATATGTTGTGCTGATATATGTGTAGGGTTAATGCATGTTGTCAGGCAGCACTGTAGCTTGTAAACAAAGGCAGGTTAGCTTGGGTAAGGTTACGCAGAGAACAGTAACAGTCCTTTGTTCCTGATAGTGTGATGTATATGTAGAGCAATAAAAGTGTTTTGTGTGTAGATGGTATAAAAGTTTATCAACTCAGCCTTATTTGTTGGTAATTATTTACAAGTGGTACTCCTTCGGCCATCTTGGTTGAATTGAGGTTATCCACAATGTTTCAGATAAGGTTTACAAAATACACCACCAGCAAGCGCTACTATTGAGGAGGGATTGTCTTCTCAGCTCTTGTCCCCATCACCTTACGTTCATTACAAATAATTACCAAATATAACCTTTACAATAAATGTTAGTAGCATTTTTTTTTAACTTGTCGATTTTTTTGTATCTTCAGTATATCGATTAAGCAAACTTTATATTTCAGATGTTATTTATAGACACATATCCATCGAGATTTATCATTATTAATGCTTTTCATTTTCCTTATCCTAAATTAAAGAAGCTGATTAACTTAAGTTTTATTTTAATTGTGACACTTTATCTGTAATTGTTTATGTCCAATGTACCTATGTCTAATATTGATACAATTAAGGAAGAGTTAAACAATTTACAATTTTCTATTAGGGTTTTAATGCTGGCTAAGGATTATCTCTTTCAATTATATGTTACTTAAATCTTCTTCTATCGATCTAAAACATTTTCAGTCTACTGAGGTACATACTGACATTACCAGATTCTAAAGAAAATGTTTCAGGATCATGTAGGAGAGCTCTAGCGATTTATTAATAATCAAAGAACAAAATACTACTGACATTCCTTTAAATCTGAACTTTAAAACAAAATTTAAGTTAATGAAGTTCTTTCAATGAAACAGATTGTTTATGACAGTATGTAGCCCATTAGACTGAAAATCTGTTTGATTGACAGAATATATATAAAAACTAATAACATAAATAATATTATGTTGATAAGATGGAAATTGGAATGGGTGATCAATCGATATTTATCTTCTATGAAGTGAAAATGGTGAGGAAAGAATGTTAAATTGTAAAAGAAAGGCGGGAAATATGTAACCTAAACGGTATAATTTCTACATTTACTTAAAAAGGAGTTGAGGTGGAGGGAACAATACAACCCTTCCGCAATAGTGCCGCTTTCTGGTGCTATATTTTGTAAGCCTTATCTGAAACATTGTGCATAACCTTGATTCAACGAAGATGGCGGGAGGAGTACCACCACTTCTAAATAATTACCCATTTGTTTCCTGAAGTGATTTTTTGACATCACAATATGTATGCTAACATATGAAATACTAATATTTTTTTTGTATTTATAATTATCCAATAAAATTTAAACAAACGGTTAGGGCATTTTAGCTTTCTTATTATTTTCCTGTGTACAACCCATTTCTGGAGTTTGGTTGGCCCATTCTTCCTAACTCATCCTGTATAAGTGTATATAATAATATACACTTATAAACATGAGGGTCTCCTTAATAACTATTGAAATGGTGCTTAAATATATAGCCATAATCCATAGCTCTCTGTAGTGAATAGCCAAACAGAGCATGTAGAAAATCTTGATAATATATTAGTGCCATCCAAAATCATAAGCCTCTTATTTAAGAGTTCACCAATAGAAGTATTAAATACTTATAAATATTTGGGAGTCGCGCTAAGCACAAGTTTCAGAGATTTTTCATTAAGAAATTGTTTTCGTTGCCTCCAACGAAACCAAATAATATAATTTATTTAGAAACAGCCACAACTCTACTTGAGGTATTCACTTTGAAGGTGCATTTTAAGTATTGTCTTAAGTTACTGTACCTACCTGAAAGTCGTATCTAAAGAGTTAACGCCATTGAAGTGATTAAACGTAATGCCTTTTGGTTTAAAAATTGGTGCAATTTGGCGGAAAATTACTCTTGCAGGTTCGACAGGTGTTTGGAATGCTTTTCGTTATGGAAAGACCAGTTGGCAACAATACGGTCTGCAATCACTCATTAACATCAGGAGCAGTGTAAATTAGCGGCATTGAATTCTGATCGATTCCTATTGTATAGGAAATTGAGTCATAATCTTAAAATTTTGAAATTCGTGGATGGCTCCTGTTGGGATTTGACTGGGCGCGAGATGAGGTGGTTGTTAATGCTCACGAGTGGGATTGTCCACTATATAACGTACCGGTAAAGGAGGACCTGTTCCATATTTTGGCTGAATGTTCAATGCTTGATCAAATACGTATCGAATTTATTGGAACTTGCCCTGTTCGAAATTATATTCTGATTTCCCTTCTAATTGCCTCCTCTGTGAATGAATGTCGTAAAATTGTCGGTTTTCCTCGACATGCGTGGATATACCGTTTTAATTAGCTACATTCAGCATAAACAATGATCCGTCTAATTTATTTGTGGTCAGTTTTATTTCTGTTATTGTTTATGATTTTCCTTATTTTCCTTTATTATTATTCCTTCGACATAAATTATTCAAAATATTTATTATTTTATATTGCATTAGTCATGCATATGTAATTGTTATAAAGTCTTTATGTGTACTGTACCTGTAAAACCTATAAAATTTCCGGCAGACAAATGATCATGTTCATCGGGCCGTATAAATGTTCTGTGTATTTCGGAAATTTAGAATTTATAATAATGCATTTCTCATTCATTCAAATCTTAAGTCTCTCCTTCATTCAATGTCAAGTATAATTTATCCTAGAAAATCTATAGATGAAATAATAAAATGTATAAAGATACTAGACGGAAGAACGGTATGTGACCTTGAAGAAGGTTAATGATGAGCACTAAAGACACAGAGACTTTCCCTCGAGGAGGTCCGAGTATGACTTTCTTCAACCTTGAGCCCTTACGAGGACCCGCCTTTCTAAATATCTTTGGTTCTTGCGTAATTCCAAATTACCAGCGGTATTCTTCACCTGCACTAAACCAACGTAATAAGGTCATCAGCTTCGTTTACCCAAGGTCATTATCTTGATTTAGGTAATCATTTGTTTTTTTCTATAATTTCAACGGTATCTATTTGTGCTGTCATGTAACCATAGCACTGAAAACATTGTTTAATTAATTTTAACGTATCACAGAAGAAATATCGAAATGCATCCATTTATATTTCCTGCATTACAAGAATACAATATTGTCATACTAATATTTAAAGCTTTTACTGGTTTAATTATTTACTGAGAAGCACTAGTGGATCCAGGATTTAATTTTGGGGAAATGGGGGAGGCATCAGCCCGAAAGCTTCTTTATTCATAAAAATAACGATAGAAACTAACTACCTATATGTAATGGTGTTTAAGTGATTCCTAAAGTCCTTTCAAATGTAATTACACGAACAATAATACTTTAAGAGATAATTTTTTAATATTTTATTCCATAACATATGGTTATATTTTATCAATCTGGGGGAGGTGGAGGGAGCTTAAGCCCCAATGCCCTCCCCTACTAGATCCACCCGTGCTGGGGAGTGATGGTGTAAAAGGTGTTTCAACCACCATCAGAGAAAAAAATAGATTATTATTAATATCCAGGTTATTAATATACTTTACAATAACCAGTAAACAAGAGACAACTTTATTTATATAAGTAAATGACACTTACCTGATACCTCAATCTGATATTCAGATTTGTCATCATTCAATCCAAATTGAACATCAACGATTGAATTGAAGAAACAAGTAAAGAGATGCCTAACTTTATTAGAACTGCTTAAATAATGTTATAGCTCTCTCTCTCTCATTGAAATATCAAAATATTGCTCAACACTTTATTTGAACCGTTGTTAGATGAGAGTGAAAACCAATAATATTATTACACCAATGAAATATTTAATTCAAATCTGGATACATAAATATAATTTTGATTTATTATTTTCAATAATTATTACCATTGTAATCGAACAAAAAAAAATAACCCCCTCTCAAAATTTGAGGTTTTACGTTTCAGAATACGCAGAATTCGAAAAACGAATAACAATTTTTTTGTCCATCTTTTATTTATTTTTAAACTCTAATGTGCCTCGTTGCCAACTTTTTTTTTTGGACGTCCTCCCCTTCCTCGCCTTTAAGGCTGGCTATACGGGGGTTTTCCCGGACCAGGCGATGTGGGCAGGGATTTAAAAGACACCTGGCAACGGGATGCGAACTCGTGACTAATTTTTGTCATTTGTATCATATATCAGGTATGATATATGATATACGGCTGTCTGCATTAGTAAGAACCTGCAGGACCAATTTTTTTCAAATTTGGATTTAAAGTGAGAGGTCACCCAAAGATGATCCTCCTTTATCGACATTACTGTCTGCCTTTTCCTTTCAAGTTGGCGGCCGAAAAACCTGTGTTGCTATAGATTATAGCGCCTAACCGAACGTACCGATTTCAATGAAACTTGGCTAAAGTCTTCTTTTCGATGCCCTTTAAATTTATCTATATGACATACTTCAACGAAAAGAAGCTGGAAAAAAGTTACGATGTTTGGTAAAACTCTGAATAACTCAAAAAGTATACAATTTTTTGTTGATATTGTGATAAGATGTTTCAGAGGTATTTAAATTTCCTAAAAAACGAATAAAATTCCATCGAAATCAGACCACCATTAATAAGGATATCGGGATTTTTAAATACTTTTATTTTATTACTTTTTAATAATGAACCATTGTAATCGAACACAAACTTAACCCCCTCTCAAAATTTGAGATTTTTAGGTGGTTATTTAAAAGTTTAGAAAACTCGCCTAAAAAAAGCGTTAAAATCGGACTATTTGGAGCAAAGATATGGTCTGCAGATGTTTTTTTTTTATATATTCTACTTTTTTTGGGGAGGGGAGGAAATTACTAATAGTGAAAAAAAAAATGTTTAGGCCAATAATTGGAAGCACCATTTATTTCTTTATCTTTGATACTAGGAAGGTAATGTTACTTTAGATGTATAATTGTTTGGAAATAATAAACCATTGAGACGAAATTTGCAGCGTTATTATATTTTGATTTTATTTATATTTTGAATTTTTCTGTTTATTTGATTTCTATTATTTTTGCGAAATCCTGTGGGGAAATTAATTATTTAATGCTAGAATAAATGTTTATAATTTTATATTTCTTTCCAGAAGAGAGAAGTATTGGGGAGAACATGAGACTGATGAAGTGCTCTGTACTGATAGTGGGCGACTACCAATGCGATTTCTAGTCTGAAAGATCAACCATCGACCAGAAACTTTCGCTGAGACAGATTTTCGAAAGAGGATATGAGTTTAACGTTGACCTTCATAATTTATTTTTTTATTTAAAACAGGCATAGGGCAATTAATAAAGAGGAATTACTTAAGATAATGCTGGAAGTGTGAGCTGCAAGGAAGCTCAAAAAGGACTATGCATGACAGTAGGATGAAGATAAAAATACAAGGAACGCTATCAAAAGAATTATCAGTAAATAGTGGCCTGATGTAGGGAGATCTACTATCAACTGTGTCCTTTCCAATTTAGCCATTTAAAAAGTTATTAGGCCAATACAAACCAACCCTAATGAAACTATTTGTAATTGACCCACACATTACTTGGCATATGTGGATGACATGTTTATAAAAGCAAAAGCATAATAGCACGGCAGCATTTGAAAGAGCTTAAGAAGATTTTGAAAGGGTAGTGCCAGAATTTTGCCTTCATGTTAATGAAGAAAAATGAAATATTTAAAAACTTCCAGGAACCAACTGTGGTTCTGCCATTACAGATGGTAACATAATGAATGAATTGCTAGGCTGTCTGCAAGTAGCAATGGCTTTATGCCCAACAAAAAACATTTAAGTTTAAAAATCTCTCAACTAAATCAAGAGGCCTGCTCCTTGTATAACCATAGTTCCCAGCAATAAGTAAGTGTTAAGAATAAAGTTTTGTCATTTTATATTCCTTTCCACAATAGAAGAATTTTAAAACAGGGATCAAGAAAAAAAATGAACCATTATTTTTATAATTCTACTTGCACTTGTACCATTTTGAAGAGAAAAGGGGAAGGGCATAAACCATTGTCCTTGAAGGGGATATGCACTTACTGGGCCTCTAAATGAGATTTAGTGTCTATCCTGTGAATTACTTCACATTAAAAATTATTTAATTTAACATGTATGATCTTGACGACATGTATACTAAAGCAGGAAGGGTTACAAAATCATACAGACGACCGTTAAAACTTTACAAAACAGTTATTTTATTGTAAATTCTTAAATGCAATATGATTATGATGAATTTTCAATGTACCTGTTCATCTAGTCTTAAAATAAATTCAATTATTATTCATGGATGATAATGCATAAATAAAAAACAATGCAGTCTAAATGTGCGTATAATATATTTACAAATTCAAATAGAAAATATAACATTTTTTTTCAATCTCATATATTATTAAACTATTTAAAATAATCAAAATTAAATAATTTTAAGAAACAAAATCAGCTATTAGATCAGAGCACCTTCTGCTTCAGGTAGTTTCAGGGATGTGCGTTTCAACATACATTTACAACATAATTTAACAAATAAATAAGATTGGTGTAAACCTATAATTGTACTGATACCTTATATTATTATATTTAATATAATTACATCAGGTCATTTTCAAACATTATCCAGATAAAAACATTTTGTTTCTGATTATGAACAACACTAAAAGATTCCTTATCGGATTTCTATTTGATTAATAAAAGTTCAACAAATAGTTTAAATTTTGAAAGAGCACATTTTTAAAAATAATATTAGTGATTTTTGTATTTGATAAGATTTGAGGGTCATAAATAAAATTAATACTCTCACATATTATTATACTTATCTCTAAAAATGTTTTTTTTTTTTTTTGTTACAAAATAGTAGTAAATGCTACATGAATATTCCATTATAGTAAAAACATCAGGTATGTTACCCAGTTTTAGCAAAAAGTGTTTCAAGGCCCAAGTTAAGAAATATTTAATGAACGAGTAACTATGCCCTCGTTAACAGCTTGCATCACATTTAAAATATTTAAAAGCTGTTGCAGAAAATAGAAAAATATCAACTAGAGAAAGTTCATTTAAATTCGAAAAATGTGACTCTCAAAAGAACATAAAAAGGCACTGATTTTCAAGCTTGTAACATCCAAGATTAAACAGGAAAAAGGTTCAATGAAAAAACAAATTGAATAAACAAAATGAAATCAGCTTTTAGTTGTACAAGAGATATTTTTAGGTCAGGAAAAAGAGGGCCTTATTGGAGTATGCCATGTAAGTGAGAGCATAAGTCTACATGGATGTGTGATCTGTTTACATTGTGACTATGTACATGATTAGACTGATAATAATTTCAAAAAAATAAAAGTAAAGTTACTTGTCTAATATTACGGCCTCAACTAAAGTTGTATGTTTGGTTACATTGGAAATCCTTATCAACAGGATTAAGGGAACATTGTCACAGGTGAAAGACATCATCTAAAAGATAAAAGAGCTTGCTCTTAATTGGTCCCTCTATTTCCCTAAATTTTATAGTTTAAAGTTTGCATCTGGTTCATTTTGTGCATAAAATTTTCTAAAGTTGCTTTAATTCCCTTTCAAATTTTTGTTTTAGACAAAATTGTGGTGAATAGTAAACATTAAAGTGGCATTAAGAATGGGGCCTTGAACATCCAGAAACTGTAGTTAATTATTTTTATCTGCATTAATTTTTTTTTTTGGTGTGAAAACATTTTATTAAAAGTTTGCTCAATACATTTAGAAACTATGGGCATCATCTTAAATTATAACTGATAGTTGAGGAAGTATGAGGCCATTGCAAAAATAGTAAAATATTATTGAGCGAGTAAGATCAGTTTTCATTGAAAATCTAACCGTTTTTTATTTATCCAATTATGTATGTTTAATTTATTAATGCTTTAAATAATAATGCATTACAGAAAAAAGATGTCTTTGATGGGTAAAATGTCCTTTCAAACAGTTTAAAATAGTGAAACATATCTATAAGTGTACTAGAATATTTCCACTCAATTTTGTTCAACCAAGCTTTGTTATTAAGTAGGAAGAAGAGTGAAGGTTACACTGTTAGTAGGGCCACAAGATGAGACAAGAAACAACGATTAATAAACATGTGCTTCACGTTATTATAACTTAAAATATTAAAAGTAAATAGAATCATTAGCTAAAAGAGCAATAACTATTTTTGGTCATATAAATGAGATATTTAAAGACGATTGGCATTTTTTAAATCTCTTGTTGACAATTATTTTAAATACCCTGAATACCATTGACTAGTTAAAAACTGGCATCAATTTATTCATTCAATAGCAAACAATGGCTATATTGAAAATTAAATTGTAACAAAATCTCAAACTTGCAATAAACTTTATAAACTTAATATAATAATATACTATAAACAATTTATAGAAATGTCTTTTAAACCTACATTAACATTAGTAACTTTTAAAAATTTTATCAATTAACAATACTGTTTTCTTTGTAAAGATATTCACACTTTTTAAATACAATAGTGCTCTTTCTCTCTATACATATTTATAATAAGTATATATTTATTTATAATTTATAAATACTGTACACAATAAGTAGAAAAAAGGAATATACAGAAGAATGTACAAGGAAGAGATTTTCTTGAAAAAGTATCAAGAAAACACTGGTACAAGGAAGATCAATAATTAAAAAAAAATTAAATAGAGTCGTAAAAATAATTAAAAACAAATAGCAACGTACGTATAGTATCACAGAAAGTTTTATAATGACTAGACTTCGGTGTTAGAAGTTAGAAATAGGGGTCTTTAGTTCCCTTATGTCTACTCAGACATAGAGCAGAGCATGAATCATGATTTCCACACTCTAAGCTTCCGCAGAGAAACCCTCTTCAATCTGGAAACAGCTGTCCTCATGTCAGAAGTCATGTCCTCATCACTGAGAGTTTCCCCTTCTGAGTGTACTTCCCTCTGTCTCCCATAAGGCCCCGAATCTCGAACACTTCTACTCAGCCCGCTAAGTGGAAATCGAACTTTAGCAGTAGGATCACTTAAGGCTTCAGCAACTGGCAATTTGCTCAAACCCCTGCTAAGACGGTCAAGCGTTACTGTGCGCAGTGTACTTCCTGTTCTTCTGATTTCTCTTTCACGGAGAATAAACCTTCCTATCGTTTGCCACTGGGATTGTGTTCTATAAATATTTTCATCATCTGCAAGTATCCTTTGAACTTTTGCATTGGCACTCCATTCTAGTTCCTCTAGTAGGACAAATCTAGTGGGATCTTCCATTCTTCTGGCTTTTACTAGTGCCTGTGCAAGCACGTCCTGCGCGCATGCACTTTGTGGCATCTTCAAAATAGCATAAGGTATTTCAGGGGAAACATTATAAACACAGACCAGGAAATTGTCAGCCTCATCCCATGTTCTTGCTTGTTGAACACGTGTAGATCTGATAGATGACAACCAAGCTCGACTACTAGGGTCATCTCCTAGACGTTTCAATAAAAATTTCCCTTCTCCCTGCCACTGAGCTTGGGCTTGAAGAGGACATTCTTGAGGATCCAACACCCTTTGTGAGGCAGGCGCTTCTCTATCTTTTCTGTCCCAGCCTCTTGAAACTTCTTCGACTAAAACATAATCATTTACCTTGTCTGCACTCTGTCCAGCCTTTTGTAAAGCTTGAAGAACTACTTCATGAGTAGTACTCTCTTGGGTTATCTTCAATATAGTAGATGTTTCATCTGGAACTACTCCATACACCATTAAGAAGAACATTCTTCTCTTTCCAGTCGGCCTCATTTCTTGTTTTGCAGGGTTTTCTTCTTTGCATCTATCAAGTATAGTGTCAGATTGACCTACAGACTCCTCTTCTGTTCGAGAATAAACAAAAAGTGTAGATAACTGCAATGGCTGATTTTGAGGAGTCCGCATACGAACATGACGGTATCCTGGTCTAAGGCATTTTAACGGCATTACCCTCTGACAAATCAAATGATTTGTACTTGCATCTAACACAGAAAACCTTAAAAAGGCTAAATCTCGAAACATAACTTGAAAATAAAAAGACTCGTTCCAAATAGGATTCAGAGCATTTCTTTGAACAACTTTAGTCTTTTGTTTGTTACAGTCAACAGGAATCCCAATCATTTCTACCTCCACTATTACATTAGCAGTTAGATTGTTCTGACAAACATATTGACCAGATATAACATTTAAAATAATCTGAGAAGAATGAAGACCATCAAACTCCTTATCCCATGGATTAAATCTCCTGTACATCATGTGTGTTCTGTCTCTCATAACTGCTGGTTTCAAAACATATCCACATCGGCCATTCTGCTCGAACATTCCTGTGTTAATGTGCAATGCACTATCTTCGGTTTGGTAATTCAATGCAACCATCTGAATACCAAATGCCCAAAATATCACAGGATTGAAGTTTGAAGAGTCAATCCTCATGCCAGCAGGATAAGTCCTCATGAGTTGGGTTTCAGTGTGAGCGATCAGCGGTAAAGTTTGCTTTCTGCAAAGCTTCTTTGCTGAATTTTCATTGAGAGATGTACACTGGTAGCAGGGGTGGTAAGTGTTGACCCTTTGTTTAGGATAGCTATGGGAGTCGGAGCTGCTAGGACTGCCTGTAGGCCCTATTAGGCTCCCACCGCTTCCTTTCTTCAACATGGCACTTGTTGCTACTGAAGATACTGCTGAAGCTCGTTTACAGCGAACAGAACTATTGGGACTGATTGTGTTCAACTGACGAAATTTAATAGCCTGAAAAAAAAAATCCATTTAAGTTTGCTATTTCTGTATTTTAAAGAATAAAATAGAAAGAAAAAGAAAAGATTAATAAAAATAACAAAAGAAAATTAAAGTGAAAAAATTAAAAATGTATAATTGTTCTGTTGCTTTTGATTTGAAACATTAACATATTTTCCATAATTATTTTCATTCACTTAATCATTTGAACTATAAAAACTTTCAAACACTTGGTAAAACCTTTGATGAGTACCAGTTATAAAAAAGTGAAATGATACTTTTCTTTAGCCAGAAGAGATATATTTTAAACATCCACAACTGTCAGAGGATATCTCCATTAGCAGAGGTCACTAATGTCAACATATAAATCTAGTCCTTTATGGTATGAGAGAAATTGGTCTAAAGCAGGTAAGATTCACAAGAAATAAGTCAATTAAAATTATACTTATAGATTAAAAAAAATGCTGTTGACTTACTCAGCAGTACTCGGTAAAACATGACTGCCTCACTCTAATGGTTTAATGGATATTCAGTATATACGCATTCCTGTTTTATTTTATTCAAGTTCTACAATTTTCTGATAATAATTACATCAAATGGAGATAATTTATAAGAAGGATAATCAAAAATGATGTCCAAAAAGGTTGAGTGTTGTTATAATATTAATTAAATGAGAACCTTGTAAGAAATAATTTATTTTCTACTTGACTTTGATCACCTTTTTTTAATTTGAGCCACCACTAAATAGATCTGAAAATCAAATATTGCTAGTGTTAGTGCAAAAGGTTTGTATATAAAAATTGAGTGTTTTATAGGAGAACATAAAAACTGATTATTCTTCAGCCCACAACAGCTATAAGTAGTCTGCTACTATGGAAAATACCAGAGGGGAATAAAGTATGTAATCATACTAATAAATCATAAAGAAATAATAAATTTGTATGCTCTCCTATAAAACATTCAAATTTTACATACACCATTCTACACTAACAGTAGTGATATAATTGACAGAACAATCCGAGAAAACTGACAATGATTTTAGCTAAGAACAATTTTTACTTAAAATGAGATAGATAAAATAAAGATTCATGATAGACTTGAAAATGGCTCTAGAAAGCCAAAACATTGAGACTAATAAAGAAATATAAATAAAAAGAATTCTTGATGATTCACTTAGCAATTGGACAGCCTGCTTGTATTATTTGATTAAATATATGCATTAAATAATAAAAAAAAAAAAATACAAATTAAAACTAGAAAGTTCACAATTGGGAATTTCTTATATAATTCGGTTCCCCAGTAATTGCTGCTAATTATGTAAAAAGCAGGGTTAACTTTTCTATAACAACTAAAATACACATTATTAAATCATAACAATAAAGTAAGAATAAATTATTGATTGAGAATGGCTTACTAATAATTCAGGAAAATGCAATGCTTAGTTATGTTTACTACATTTTAAAATGAACTTTTTGTACCATCTTTAACAACAGGGAGTAACTATAATACTAAGCTGATGTAATAATAACAGAACTATTGGGTTTGTCCTATTTTAACTATCTCAGAACATGAATACTTTCTAAGAAGCTTGGCATACTACACTACTAGAATGGATAAATTACTGCAATGTTAGAATACTACATAATAAACCAATAGACTTTGAATATTCAAGAGAAGCAGTACCAAATAGCAAAACAAGTGGTGCAAACATTCGGAGAACCAATTCTTTAAGGCAGTAAATTACCAAATAATCAATTAAATCAGTAATAAAGTTTAATAATTTAATTTAAAACCAAATAACAAACCTGAATATAAATTACAAGGTCTGACAGTTCCCTGGCAATCTGTTTCTTCTTAGGTGCAATGCCATCATCCTCCATGACCCAATCCATTTCCAGCTGTTGCTGACTTGCAGGTGATTTTCCAGTCGATCGGGATGGTGTTTTCAAAGCACTGTCATGGCTCGAGAGAGAATCAGTTCTTGGACAATCAGTAACAGTCGCTAAAATTTAAACAAAATCTTATTAATTACTTTAAATGCTAAAAATTGTTTAAATGTTTTTCATATTTTAATTTTCATAGATAGACAACAATAGAAAAATAAGATGTGTTTCTTAAACATTATTTTAATAATGAAAAATCAGTAACATTTGGGTTTCACTACTTTAAGATAATCTAGATATGAATTTCTGCATTTCTGCTGGACGGAGGACGTTTAAAAATTATTTAAGTAATGACTGCTAGGCTTTTTTATCTACAGTAGCAACACAAAGCAATCTCGAGAAAATAAAATAAATTAATGTTCTGATAAAAAATATATATACACTGACAGGCAAACAATTCCACCCACTTGATTTTTTCATGTTTTCATCTAAAAATATTTCTGCTTTGGATTGGTCTCCTGTTTTTAATGAATAAATAGGTTTTTTTTTTTTTGTTTGTTTTCAATTAGGAATGTTAACATAGAGGACAATAACCCTTAATCCTTAATTCAATGAAATGATTCTAGATTCCAATGTTTACTTTCTATGGAATCAAAATGTTTAGTCAGTATCATTAGTTCAGTGCCGTTTCTTGCAGCACATTTCTTAGTCTCCGGCTTTTAATTTTTTTCAATATTAAGTCTAAAAATTCCTCTTAGTGCTGAGGATGTTGCGCGTGGTGTGGCACTTATTGATGATGGACGTTCCATTAGATATGCAGCTAATGCCATCGGAGTTGCATATGAAACTTTACGAGACGCCGTCAGACGTTTTTGGGAAACTGGTTCTTACAATAGAAGGCCCAGTTCTGGACGGCCTAGGGTAACAGAACCACGGGATGACCGGTGAACCACTTTGAGAATTTTACGAAACCGGCACCTTACTGTTGTTCAAGCGAACGACCGCTGATTTTGTTGAGGATAGGCAACACATGAGGTTTTTTTCCTGTCAGTGTATAAATGAAGAAAAGATTCAAAAGACATCAGTACAAATGGGAATTAGTTATAATTTAAATTTTAGACTGTAGTCTAATGGTATTCATGGTATGTATACCATGAAGACTTTTAAGCTTACTGGTCAATAATTACCAATTAACAGATTATAGCATACCAGTTGATAATTCTAGCACAATTAGATTATTTTTCACACTAGATCAATACTCACCCTCAATATTTTCATCATCATCGTCATCATCATCATCATCTTCATCACTGAAATCATCATTAACAGAACCGCCTGAAGTATTTGAAATAATAGAAGATGCCCTAGGAGCTTGATGACTCCTTGTTTTCCCTCTTTGCAATGGGAAAGCTGGTGGTATATCTGCCATTAGTTTTTTATTTTTGATTAATATTCTATACTTCAGCTGAGCTGGTGAAGGCAGACAAGGCTCATCAGAAAAATCAGCTTCAAATATAAACTTTGTCACAAGTTTTTCACCAAAAACACTCTGAAATATAAGTTGAATTATGCTAATTAAATTTAAATAAAAATTTATTACATTAAATTTATTTTTACAAATTGTAATTACTGATAATGATTATCTAGGCAATACATGAAAGGCACTAAATTAGATAACATACACAGCTGTGATAAGATATTGGAATTTCACACTGACAATATATTGTTGATTACAGACTTCATATACTTTACAAGCAGTAGCCAATAAGTGCTAACGTGAGTAAATTAAGGAGGTCAGTTTAGTTACTGAATGCTGGAAAGAAAAATATCCTGCAACCCCACACCCTTAGTTACAGTAAACTATATATATATATATATATATATATATATATATATATATATATATATATATATTATATATATATATATATATATATATATATATATATATATATATATATATATATATATATATGTATATATATATATATATATATATATATATATATACCTATTCTCTTTGTTCTCTTTTATCATAAAACTAGTCATATAAAATATTATCAATACACCACACCATAATATCATTACTACATAACATACTTATCCTCCAAAAAATAAAGTAAATATAAATATACATCCAGTAAAGTAAATGTGATACAGAGAAATACAATGAGAAAAGACTTGTAGAGAATCTGTCCACTAGTAGCACTTTAATAAAGCATCTAAATCTTCTTTTCAGACACCTCGGGAGTTCGGGAAAAGGAAGCAAGTTTATAAACGAGAGAATTAGGAAGGTTATGAAGTTTATTATGGAAGAATAGGTATCTGGATTGGGCCAATTTGGAAACATATGGAATATTCGCCATGAATGACGAATGAATGACAAGAAAGGTTGTCATGGATAGTTTTCTTTGTAACAAAGGAGTATTGAGGATTTTAAAAAGGATTTTGGATTGTAAGAATTGAATACAAGAGGAATGTGATAGTTTAGAGAAGTCTCAAAACTAAACTCCATACGTCCAAATAGCTCTTATTATAGTCATGAGTCTTTTGTAATTAATTAGAAGCTTAGAGTGTTTATCTAGCAAGTGCAGAAGTAGTCGGAAACGTCAAGTGGTTTCTTGTTGTTTCAGATTGGTATGAGGATTTCAAGTTAGACGCTTGTCCAGGTGGATTCTTAAGTATCGGATTTGTTCAACAGAGATAAATGAGGTATTATTAAAGAATACTGTAGGACAGGAAGTCATAGGTTTACGATGAAGGGCAAAAGTAATTTGATAAGATTTATTGGAATTTATTTTAATTCCTTCCCTCCGAGGTATCTGAAAAGAAGATGGCCTCGTTATCTACTTATGTAAATATCTTATTAGAGTGCTACCAATGGGTAGTTTCTCAACAAGCGTTTTCATGTGATTGTATTATTACTGTGTGCACATTTACTAGTTGTATTTTTTTTTTTTTATAATACAGTTGTAAATATCGATGAATAAAAAATAAAAAACAAAAATTTAATTCCCCAGTTTTGACACCATTCTTCAAGTTTTGTGATGTGAATGGAGAGTTCAGGATGCAATGGATGAGTCATTATTAACTGATAGGACACATGTGGAATCACTAATAGCGAGCAGAGTTAACAAAACAGAATAGTATTGAATTGGTAAATAAACTCCTATGAAGTTTTTTTGTTACTAAATATCCAGGAAAATAATTGTTAAGTAAAAGATAACCAGATAATCAAAATAGACTGTTAAACACATTTTCTTTCTGGTGATCCTCCATGAAGCAGAGATGTGTTTTGACCAGTGAAAAAATAGTTTAGCATGGTTATAGCAACTGCGATGAAATTTCTCCGAACAAAAATAGTTTAAAAAAAAGAGCAGGTCTTCAAGCTGAAATGTATATATATTTGTCATACCAAGATACGAATGAAGTTGAGGAAGTAGAAAGTGGCAAAGCAACTAAACTTACATGGTTGCCATAGTTGATAAAAGATTACATGAATGGGATGGAAAGACATAAATGCTTAATTGATCAAATTAAAAAATAATAGTCCACAGAAGGAAAGTGAAGGGTAAGCTGCTTAAGCTAGCAAAAGATCTAGAAGCTAGCATTAAAAAGGGGGAAAATACCTTAATTAAAAAATATTTCATTCTGTTGGTATCATATAATTAAAAGTGAAACAAAAATATTTATTCAAATTTTAATATACCTGAAATATATGTGCCATACGGGTCTGCTGCTGAAGAGAACAGTGGTTTTCTATTGAAAGGATCACAGGATAAGGTGAAGTAACAAAGGCACTTCTGTTAATTGCTTCAACAACAGACTTAAACTGTATCTTAGTAGTGAATGTATGACCGTGATAAATCTGAGGTGAACCGTCATCGCCATCCCAACAGTCTAGCTCCACACACCGACAACCAGCCAACAGCACCTTAAGATTAAATTTAAGTGAAAATATTGAAAGATAAATTGTTTTAGATTAAAAGGTGGAATAAAAACCTGGCCCAAAAGAATGATAGTATTTTTTATGATAATTTGTAACTCCATAAAAATACTGAATCTTAATCTTCAAAAGTGAAAAAAATTGGTAGAATGTGTTATTTTTTTCATGCTTTACTTGCAATGGTGTCAACATAATAACAAATAATCATAAATCATGGCCAACAGTATTTTAAATACATATAGGAAAGTAAATAATAATCAACACCACCTTGGAAAACAATAGTTCATTTTGTTTATGTGCTAATTCTAGTAAAAAAGAAGATTGTTTTAGACTGGTTTTGATTGATTGATATCATCCAATTATTCTTTAGTAAATTTATAAGAAATAATTATAAAATAAAAAGTCTGCGATGTGTAATTCTCAAACAAAAAACTTTTGACTGTAAGCAAGTTCAACAAGTCAAATTCAAATGATATTATTGATTACATTATTAACATCAGACAAATTTTCGTAATTTACGAAGAAAATCAAAGCACTTTTAATTTAAATAATTTCTCTGACAAAATGAGGAAAGAGTAACACCTCTCTCTATGACAATCACTATGAGTTATCAGGAATTCCTCGTACAACATGGGCTTTAACATTGAAATATAATCCTTGTTTTACATTTTTTTAATTTTTTATTTTATTTTAGATCTAATATTATAAAAATAATTCTAAACTAGATACAACACTATTTAAATACATTAAGTGAAAAGATTAATAGCCATTATTTGTGTGAACAAATAAATACCTGGCTGTACAAATCCACCGAGGATTCGCCTTTGAGCTGATGGCCAGTGAGATAAGTATTGTGGCTTGAGGCGATGTAGTAGTGAGAAAGGGGATATTCCATCTCTTTTTCATCAGGGCAGACTTTTTCACAGACAAATGCAAAATTTTCTTTATCCATCAGAAACCTCGCGAATCCTTCAAATGACAAGCAATTGTGTGATCTCAAAGTAGGATCTGGTTCATGCCTCTGCAAAGAGAAAATTATCATTATTCTAAGTAAAAAATATCAACAATTTTAAATTCAAAATATATTATGAAAGATACCTGAATCAGTTCTTTGACTTCCTCTTCAGTATGCTGTTCCAGCTGTTTTGTTTCCAGAAATTTAGCAAAGTTGTTTAATGTGATGACTTGAGACTTAGATGTATCCACTCCAGCACAGTTGGTTACAATACTTGAAGTTGCTATGGCATCAAATATTTTTTTCTTTTGCATTGCTGGTGTGTTCCTATAGTCCATCAAATCAGCTGAGCTGTTTCTGGTTAACAAACCTTAAATAAAGGGAAAAATTTATATAGTAAAACGACTGTATAAAATAACTGCAGAGTGTAGCAATTAATTAATCATTTTTCTATAGAACATAAACTCAAGAACAACCAATATTTTTTAAAAATAAATTTCAAACAAACCAAATTCCAGCTTTTACTCATGCCTTTATCAACATTTATAAATTGCCTAAGTATAACCTGGTAGTCTCTTGGTTTATCAGGCTTAATGATGGTACAACCAACATTAATTCCTTACATTTCTTAACTGAAACTTGTAAAAATATGAATCAACAAAATCAAACTGAACGATTGACCTACCCTTAGGTTATTTAACCAACTATTTAAATCTGATACAAATTAAAAATTTTCCGAATTGAATCAAACAACTTTCCATAACCAGTTCTCAGCATCAAATTAATTTATTATATTTATTGAAGCAAGTAAAACCAAACTGTCTATATTCTAAATCAACTAATTTTTCTTTGGCTCAACTTCTTTTTTTCCGATAATGCTAAACTATTCTTCAACTAACATTAGCAAGTTTCCCGTCTATAAGGAACGACTAAGCAAGATTCTAATTTTTTTACTGCTGTTTTGAATATAGAATTACATCAAACACAAGTCAGTTATAAAAACTCCAAAAAATTCTGGATAAAATTAAGGCAAGGTTAAAGGTAGGCAATACCAATTATTTATTTCGTTGGGAAATTCCTCAATTAGATCGGCTTATAAGGTGGCAAAAGGAATCGTAAGGATTAATGGTAGAGAGTCCAAGCCTTTTTCCATGGAGAGAGGAGTCAGGCAGGGAGACAGCCTAAGTCCCCTCTTGTTCATCATATTTATGGATGAAATCCATAAAATTTGTAAGCGTCGTACTGCTTGGACGGTCATCAGAAAATGGAAAATGTGGAATATTATGGTCCGAAGTCTACTATATGCAGTTAACATCATTCTGATTGCGGACACGAAAGACAAGCTGCAGAAGGCCCTTCTAGAATGGCAGGAAGATCTCCTCCGCAAAGGCATCGATTATCAATAGCTCCAAAAGCAAAATCCTAGTCGTATCAAGAAATGAAGAAGAGGATGTCCAGCTGATCTGTAAGGGAGAGGTACTTGAAGTTGTTCAAGAATTAAACTATTTGGGAACAATTATCAGCAACACGGGGAAGATTGACCCAGAAGTAGCGAATAGGATATCCAAAGCCAACCAGGTCTATTACCCTATTAGCAACAGTATAGTAGGGCACAGAGAAGTTGGCAAGGAAATAAAAAGGCACATATACAAGTCAGTATATCTCTCAACCCTCACGTATGGAAGCAAAAGTTGGATTATGCTGGATAAGCAAGTTAGCCATGTGATGGCAGCCGAGATGAAGTTTCTGCAGTGCGCTGATGAAAAGACCAGGAGAGATCTTGTCAGAATAGAACGCATAAGAGAGGAGAAGATCTGGAGGTAGCGGAGCTAAGGACAGTACTGGAAAACCGACATTTGAAGTGGTTTGGCCACATTTGTTGGATGGAGGAGGAGAGAGATCCGTGAAAGGTTCTGGAAGCTTGACCCACTGGGAGGAGACTGAGGGGCCACTCCAGAATTTCCCATCACGAGTATATGCAGCGGATCGGAGAGAAGAGAGAAAAAACCCTCCAGGAAATGAGGTGGCTTAATAGAGACCGAGAGGCATGGCTGCAGTGGATAGAGGCTCCTGGACGCTAGTAATTGCATGAAGAGGAAGACAAAGAAGATGAAGGAAATTCCCTAGAAAAAAAAGCTAAGAAAGCTAGAAACTAAAAACTATTAGTATTGCAGCTATTCTTTACATGAGCGAAACATGGGCACTAATTTTTAAGGAAAAACAATATCTTAAGGTTTTCAAAAATAACTTATTTTCCCTAAAGAAGGATGAGCTTATTGGGGAATTTAGATATTACACAACATGGATATGCGAAACTTGTAACAGATTAATATAATCAACATAAAAGCATCACTATAGTTAAAATGGTTTCCAGGTTTACATTCTAGAAATTTTTGGAATTTGCAATGTTCTGACTGTAAGATTTAGTAAGAATATCAAATTTAGTACTTTTCCTCTTTTTCATTTATGTTTTTCTCAAAGTTTTATGAAGGAAATAGATCAAAATATAACAATATTTTAATCATTTTTTCTTAACCTACCTATCTTTGGTGCTCGGCTTGAGTGTTCTGGAGAACTTTTTAGACTACCATCATTGAGTGAGCTGTCAGACATACTCCTACAGCTCATTGCAAACTGGTCGAAAAGATCTTTCAAATCCTTCCGAGCTCTCAAACTGTAAATATATTAAAAATGATCAAATGCAGTCGATCAAAACATCAACTAGATAATATTAAACTATAATAAGATCAACTCTGACTTGAATAGGATCATTAAACTAGAGACAAATCTGAACTACCTGCCTAGTAGAAATTGTTTTCTAAACTTTAATTTATACCAATTTTTATTTTTCTAAATCCATTATTCAATGACACAATTCTATCATATTTGTAGTTCATTTAAAATGAAAATTATGGAGATATAGTTGTCTGTAGCTCATTTAAAATAAGTTAGTTGGGAATGTAATCAAAGGTGAAAATTTACAAAAAGATTTTTTGTACTTTCACTTTTGAGTGTAAACCCAATCAACTACTACTACTTTTAATATTGTGTATTGTAATGAGAATGTCCAAGAAAATAAATATAGGAAAAATTATATAAAAAAAAATAAAAAATAAAATAAAAGGCAGTTTAATAAAAAATCTGTGGAAAGGTGAGGAGAGTGATCAATCAAATGCTTAAATGTTAAATATGCCAGAATCAAAGTGGTGGCTTATGCAAAGGATTTTTGTTCTGACATTTTTTTCAAGCTATAGAAGATCATTTACCATCCGCTGTTATATTTCAAGAATGAAATTAGAATTTAAAATAAATGTGAAATAACTTATTTTCCTTCCAAATAAAATATAATAGTGATATAGTAATATAAAAAATTCTAACCTGAAAGATCGGAACAGCGCCACAAAATCAATGAAGTCTAGTTGTGTTTCATGAGTGATTGAGCCATGCCTGAAATGTGTAACAGGCCATATAACGTCTTTCTTTACCCTTTCCCTATAAATTATAAAGAATATATTAAGCATAAGACTATTGAAATATTGAATTTAATATTTAACATTTAAATATTGAAAAAAAAATGTAAATCTACGTGCTATTATACATACCTATGGTGATGGGTAGGACTAGAAGAATCTAAGTGATCTGATGAGCCCTGAGGGCTGACACCTGGTCTTGCCTCCATTTCACTTGAGATAGAGCGAGACCTTGACGGAGGGAGAGCAGGAGAAGGAAGCGCTCGCCTGTAGCCAGTGTCAGACAGAGAGCACAACTCAGGCTGAACAGAATGTTTTAATTTTTATTATATAAATACTTAAGATAAGTCTATCAAGCTATAAATAATCAATATTTTACTAATTACCCTTAAGGTTTGAATATTGCCAATGGATCTTTTCTTTTTATTTATAAATTTTGTTGAAGCACCTCGCCTTAGAGTTCCATTATCAGGTGGAGATATCCCAGTGATGTGGCCAGTATTTGCCCAATCACGGCCACCAAAAACCTACAAAATAAAACGATTTTTTATAAAAAGTGAAAGCATAGCTTAAAAATTAAAAAAAAGACGACTTTCTGGATATTACTGGAAAATCGCAAACTAAAACCTTCAGTTTCTCAAATGCTAGTAATTAACCAACTAGTCAATGTTTTGCGTATTGAGCCATCATCAGGATGGAAAAAGAAAGTAATAAAACCACATAAATTCAAACCAGAGATAATATCTTGGTAACCTCCCATTTCCTAAAACACAGCACTTTTCCATATTAAAATACAAATGTCTTATAATTATTATTATTATATCAAATCATTATCATTATTATTACTATCACTGTCTTATCAAAAGATTACATTTATACTTTTTATATCAAGATTAGGTGCCTGTCAGATACAAATGCTTGATTATTATTATTATTTTTTTTATTATTCTCCCAATTATTTCTATTCTCAATTATGACAGTTTTTTCTTCTCTAAAGGTTTGTTTAGAGTAAATGTTTATAGCTTGGCTTACTTTAAAGTCTTATAAATCATTGTTATAATTATTATTAAAAGCCAGAAATTTGCAAATTAATATTATATTTTATTTAAATAGCTTGGAATAAACTGAGGACGTTAGAATTTCATTGTTATGGACAGGGTGAAAACATATAAATAATCCACTTAGCAACAAATAATTATATGTTATAAAATTCATACCCTGATTGCATCAACAGTGACAGGCATAGAACAATTCTTCTTCATAGAAAAGCTGAAGATACTGCTCTTTCAACCAGAACATACGCCTATCACTAGACTGAAGGTGTTTCTTTAGGCCTCGCACAACACAACATAGGCCATTATACCATAATCTGTAAAATAATAGCCAAATAATCAATTATAATGACTAATGAATATCATTACTCATTATAAAACTTTTTTTAAAAATATACTGTCAGTAAATAAAAACATTAAGAAACACCAAAATAATGACATATAAAATATTTTTATTTATAAAAAATATATGTTTAATAAAGCCATAAATTTTACTGTGAATGGTAAAATAATATGTCCTAACTATTTCATGATCCTTTACAAAATATTACATATTCAGAAGTCATTTACATTAATAAGAATTGTTTATATATTATTAAATAGACAGTAAAACTGTTTCTGTTTTAAACTAATCAATTTAAATGAACAAAACTTGTATTAGCATGACGTATCTAAAAAAAGTTTGTGACAACTAAACCAAACAGTAAAAAGAATGAAAAAGTTCAAGTAGACACAATACCTAAAAGATGATTGATTGTGAGATTATCAGAATGATAAACCATTTACATTGATTAATTTTTCACTTATCTACTTATATACTATAAAGGTATGATATTGTCTTATAATAAATTTTAAAATTTTCTTATTAACAATATTTTAATAAGGGGAAGGTTTCATTGATAGCTTAGATTTTAGGCTTTCACTGAAAAAATATACACTGATGGAAAAAAGTATTTGCACAACACGTTTTTATGAATAAAGCAGTTCAAGGAAACATAAATTTATTAAAAACTGAAAAAACCTTTTTACAAAAAAATAAAAACCCTTCATAATCAAACAAAATAATTATGTGCTTGGAAAAAAGTATTTGCACACTTCCACATTTAACAAGTTTATTTTAAATTTTAATAGTTTTAATATTTTGTAAATAGGCTATTTGCGTCAATAATTGCTTGTAGACATGTGGGCATTGAATGCACTAGGTTTTTAATTAAATCTACGTTTATCTGTTCCCATTCTTGAACAAGAAGTTGTTTAAGGTGATGTCCACTAGTGATATGGTGTTTTCTTACATTTTGGTCAAAGGTGTGCCATAAATTTTCAATGATATTTATATCTGGTGACTGAGGAGGAGTGTGGAGCTGTCTTGGAACATTAAATATTAACCACTCCGTTGTTCTCCTCGCAGTATGTTTTGGATCGTTGTCCTGCTGGAAATAGTACTGATCCTGGATTCCCATTTTTTCGGCACTAACACGCAAATTACGTCGCAAAATGTTCACATAGCCTTCCGCATTTAAAATACCTTCGATGCTCACAAGATTTCCCATGCCATCGAAGGAAACACACCCCCAAATCATAACATGTCCTCCACCATGCTTTACAGTTGTTAAAACATTTTGCTTCTTTAGGGCTTCATTAGGATGTCGCCATATCGCCCTTCGACCATCTGAACCAAACAAATTAAATTTGCTTTCGTCAGAAAAGATGACATTTTCCCAAAAGCTTAAGGGTTTCTGTCGTACTTCCTAGCAAAAGCAAGGCGCTTTTTGCGATTCGTTTCACTGATGTATGGCTTCTTTCTTGGAACTCTACCATGGAGCCCTTCCGAATTCAGGGCATTTCTAATTGTTCTGCTAGTAATCTGAACTCCAGACGTTGATTGGACCATGGTAGCCAGCTCCCGAAAACTTATTAAAGGGTTTTTAAGAGCTTCTTTTCTGATTTTCCTCTTCAGCCTGGGAGTTAACTTTTTTGGACGCCCTTTACGCTCACTGTTTTCAGTTGAACCACGTTCTTCATACCTTTTTATGACGTATCCCACTGTAGAAAAATTCAACCCTAAGAAATCAGCAATTTGGCGATATGGTTTTTGCCTCCTCAGTAAAACAATTTTTTCGGGAGTTGCGGCACACAGTTCCCTTGTCTTTGGCATGATAATTGTCTATTGATTAAAGGAAACTGATTGAAAGATTAGAGAATACTGGTAATAAACAATAGAGATAAATTAGTAAACAATCCTATGACCTATGGACAAAGGAGGATTAATGCCAAAGTAAACAGAACTTGTGAGTTATATGGTGCAAATACTTTTTTCCAAGCACTTTTATTGATTTAATTTTTTTGGTTCATTATGGAGTGTTGTCATTTTTTTCCAAAAGATATTTCTCAGTTTTTATTTAACAAATGTACTTTTCATTTTTGCAGAGTAAAGCGAAGTTTTTTGGTTCCTTGATCTCATTTATTCATAAAAACATGATGTGCAAATACTTTTTTCCATCACTGTAGATGAAGTGATTTAGAAAAAAAATGCAAACTGATAAAAACATAATGAATAATATAATACAATACATTCCATACTTATCGGGCAAAATAAGCCAACTTTATTACAACTGATTCCTTAGTTTTTTGTAAATCAAAAAGCCATTTTATTATTATTTTATTTTGTTATTAATAAAAATTGTGGGAAAAACTTTCAAATAGCTATTACAATTCATTTTTATATTCCCTATCTGAAAAATACAGCGTATGTTAGCAGCTACTAAAGTAATCTCAACTTTCTCAAAAACAGATTATGATTACTTCATGAGAGAAAAAAAGTAAACTAAGAAAGGCAGTTTGTACCAAAACTAATTTTGATTGACTTTATCATTTAATAATGTGTTCTTAATTATGAAGAATAACATTATATACAGACTATTTTTGTATATTTATGGAATTTTAATCTTTTTAACTCTTTGCAAAACATTTTTACAGCAATTTTATCACACCCTGTTTCATTTTGTTCAATGTTATTTATATTTTTAGGGAGTGAGAATTGATAATTTATATCAATGTATTAATGGGAGATAATAAAATTAATATAAAATGAGTAAACAGTATAAATAATAAAGGAAGATGCTAAAAAAAAAAACTCAATTCAATGAATACTTGATTAATATTTCCATGATTTATTTATGTCATGCAAACATGTTTTTGTGTAAAAAAATAAATTAGTTCTAAAGTTGAGAAACCACTTTACCTGCTAAGAGTGGGAGGGGAGAGAAGGTACAGCACCCTGTTGTCACTAAGGTTGGCTCCATAGACCAGTGAAAGACAAACTTCATTTGGTGAATAATGGTCAAGTGAGTACCTTAAAGATTAAATATGAATTATTCAATTTTTTAAAAATAATAAATTTGAACAATTACACAGCGAACTGGTAATAATAATTAATAACAGACCATTTGTTATGAAAACTAAATAAATAAATTTCTAAGTTCTCTAATTTTTTACATTGATTCATTAATATAGAAAAAAATTAACTAATTTAAAATTAAATGGCCTTTATAAAATCAGAAATATAAAAGATTTCAAATAAGTTAAAAACATTATTTTAGTATTTTCAATAAGATATTAATAAAGTTCAAAAAACAACTCAAAAATAACAGGGCTATAACATTTAAATCCTAAATTAATGCATAAAGAAGATGCAGTAAATACATGATAATTATGATTACATTCTAGGGGTTTCAGGTAAAAAAAAAACATTAATTATTATTAATGCAGATTAGTGCAGCAATATTTTTTATGTTAGAAAAAAGTTTTAAAAGGCTATTAAAAAAATTAATAGCCATGCATAATGTGAACTACCTCTAAGAAACAACAATCTCCAGATGTATTTTTCCTGTTGGCAATATAATATGTGCATCTACTGCTGCCAATTAGGACTCTGTTTTTTCCCTATGAACCCAACTAATTATTATAGTTCTTTTAAAAGATAGATTATTAGCAAATTTATGGTCTTGAATTATCCTGGCCAGCAGTTATTATTACTTTTATGCTCATCATTCTTCAAAAATCTTCATTCATGGAAAACTGATTGAAAATCTGAATGATTTGCACTATTGAATTAAGAATATATATAAAAATAAAATGCTTAACCAGGATGTGAATTCTCCATATTAACAGTATAAAACTTATGTTAAACTTTTTTTTTAAACTTATGTTAATATATTTTAAGTGAAAAATTGGAAAGTCGAAAATACAAACTATATTAAAATTTGATTTAGATACGAATTTGGTCTGCAAAAGGTTAGTAAACTAATAGGATAGAAATAATCTAGATATCTGAGTTTGGTTGGATATAGTGGAAGAGAAATAGCTTATTAATTAATTTCAATTTTATATTTTGGTATTGATAATGATCCATTATACTACATTGCAATGTGTACTTGACGTTCTTCAATAATAAACCTTTGCTGATTAGATGTTTGTCTTTTATTTAGTAATAATTTTTAAGAATACACAGCTTCATTTCTACATAAAAAAAATAGTTACCTTCTCAAAGTATTATTAAGGAAGTCATCTCTCTCCTTATCTCTAGGTCCAAGGACTACTTCTTTGACTTGTGTTAGGTCCAGATAGCCCTCCTCAAGGGAGGGTTCGGTTCCTGACCAGCGAGAAGGTGGAATTTCCTCAGGATTAGTAGAGAGAGAATAGTCAGGTGGTGCTGCAGGTCGCATGGAGGACCAAGCAGGACGTGACCATACTATGAGCGAACAAGAACGTTCCAGTCTAACATATACTAGTGTTGAGCGCACATCTGCCTCCCAGTGGACGGCTGTACTGCCATGGTGTAACATCTGTAAAATTAGAATTAATGATTACAAAACGAGTTCAAAAGTGAAATTCCTTAGTTATCAAGAATTAACTTCTTTTTTTTTTCCTCCCTCACCTTTAAGGCTATATGTTGTCATTTTTCCGGCCCAGGGGATGAGGACGGGGAACTAATGCCAGAGTTAAATAATGGCCTGATTTCCAGCAGAAAAGTAGAAAATTAAAGTTTTTTTTTTGTAAGCCACGTTTTTTGTTGAATAGGAAGTGATAACTAATAATCTATTTAATTAAAAAAGTTAAAAATTATTTCATTGTAAACTAGATAAAATTCACTTCAATTTAAAGTAGTATATGTCCTAGTTAAAACCATTTAAAGATGAAGTTTGAACGGCTGAACAAAGATAAGTTTGGTTTCAGTTTTAAAAAAAATCATTAATTATTCACAATTTTTTTTATCACCCTTCATTTATAGGATAGATACCTCACTTTTAGAAAAAACATCCTTGTTTAAAAAAGGTTTAAGTCCATATTAAATAAATTGAAGCTTAATAGGAAAAAAGTTG